TTGTCTGTTTCCAAGTTAGAAATGAGGGTGGTGAAAGGCAAAAGTTTGAGAAAATCTGCTCAACCCATAGCAGGCAGAAGGAGAGCGAGAAAGGGGGGAGATCAACCCTCTAAAGTCTGCATGCCCTAAATTTTCCAAACTCCTAGTAATGTGTCCCAAATTCAGCTGCTTATGTACAGCCACAACAGTGACCACATTTCTCCAGTACATATTATAAGTCACTGGTATAAAATATCTAACACATGCAACTTAAAGGAGGAGGTTTATTTTGACTTCAAGATTAACTCCATGGTCCACAGCTTCAAGGCAGAAATGGTTTGGTAAAAAGGCATGGTTGAGGCAAAGTACTCGAAGAGTGCCACCTAGAAGTAAGGAAAGAAGGAGCTGGAGAGGGCAGTGTCCTCTCCAAAGCCACATACTTAGTGGCACCCTCTAACCAGGCCTCACCTTGCAGCAGGACATTTAGCTCTGAACTCATCAATGGATGGATTCACAGATGAACAGAGTCCCTTCATGATCCCATCACTTTCTCAAAGGCCCGCCTTTGCACATAAGAAACAAGAAACTGCAAACTCTAGTAGTTCTTAATCATCTTAGGATATGATGTCTCAAGTCAAAAACCTTCATCAAATATAGGTGTTGAATTAATAAATTAGATGCAGAGGTTTTTGGAAGGGGATTGATACAAGTTTCCTGTTCTCATGTAAATCACACACAGGAACTCACAAACACCTGCTCTTACTCATCAAATGCTACTTCTACTTCACCTCAAATAAACTCTGTTGTAACTGTTTCGATAAATTCTCCTGAACAAAATGTATTTGAAAAATATTTTTTAGGGGCTGGGGTTTTAGCTTAGTGGCATAAGTGCCTGCTTGGCAGGCAAGGTCATGAGTTTGATCCCTGGTTTAAAAAAAAAAAAAAGAAAGAAAGAAAAGAAAACAAAAAAATTAAAGCATGGAATAAGTGGCATTGTTATAGTTAAACCTGAGTACTTGAGTCAATTTGAAACATTAACTATAAACAGGTTACACATGCATAAAAATATAAAAATGCACACACATACAACTGAGCATGGAATTTGATGGTCCTACCTAGAGAATAAATGGTTAAGAATTTTGTCATACATAATTAATAAAATTAGAGTAACATAATTATGATGAAGAGTTGATAGTGTGGAGATTTTTAAGTTCATTAATATTTAAAACGAGAAATACTTTCAAACACATATAAAGGACAGGGGATATAGATCTGTGGCGTAGTACCCGTCTAGTAAGTGTGAGGTCCTGAGTTTGAGTCTCAGTACAAAAAAAACAAAAACAAAACACATATTAAATTGTGCCAGAGTAACTTTTTCCAGAATGTTTTTCAGTATAGTACCCTGGAAAATATTCTCCAACATATCACACACACACACACACACACACACACACACAGAGAGAGAGAGAGAGAGAGAGAGAGAGAGAGAGAGAGAGAGAGAGAGTTCTTTAAGAACTATTAAAAATTCAATTCAAACAATTTAGTTTAGCAGTGTAGTACATTGAATATTTTATATGAGCGCAGCTTTTTGGAGAAAAGGGGAGAATAAAGGTAATGTCTGCTTTCAATAGTGAAGATCATGTAGCAATCAAATTTTCAATGTTCAAGGTATGATCTAGAGGCTTAGGGGAAAATGATTAAGAAATCTCATGTATTAAAATAATTAGACTTCAGTAATATTGTAACTAAAATCTTAATTATGATTTCAGAATCACCTGGCAATACTAAACTGAGATTAGTCTTTCTCTGTGTAGATATATGGCAAATAGATGATAGATAGATAGATAGATAGATAGATAGATAGATAGATAGACAGGCAGATAGCAGACAGACAGCTATCATGTGTCTATACAGAAGTCAAATGACTTTTTGTAGTTTTTTTCAAGTGGGAAAGATGAAAATTTTTATGTCCTGTCTTACTTAACTAGACCCACTTTTACTTTTGATTTGGTTTGATTTGCATTTGTTTTAGTTTTGAGACAGTCTCATAAAATCACAATGTGCCAGGGTTGGCTTGAACTTGTGATCCTTCTGCTTTAGTCTCCCAGAGACTAGCATTACAGTTATGGATCATTGTGCTCATGAACAAGCTTTATAATGTATCACATGAGCTGATTTCCTAACAGAGTGAAGAGAAATGAAGTTACCTTCATACTATTGTGTTTCTCGTTATAAAATGGAAATGCTGATGTTGTTCAGAATCGGTGGTAAATAAAATTCATTCAAATTTAGAGCAAGCAATGACATACTTACTAATAAACTATTATATAATATACATCTGCAGATGCAGGATAATAACTATTTTAAATATCCCAGCACATTTTGCAGAAGTAAAATTGAGTTTTCTCCCCTGGGTTCATGGAGATGATTTTATAGATGAAGCGAAATACCAACGGCTGACAAAGACTCATCCTGTCTCCTATTTTATCGTGGCTCTCGGGGTGTACCTTTGCTTTTAATTGACATGCTTGATGATAATGTCTTCACTCAAATAAAATAATAGTCATAAAATATAGTTCATGGTATATATCAAGTATAACAATGAAGAGAAACTCAGAGGGAAGAAAAAAAAGTTAGAGAAAATGTGGAATATCGTTTTTGGAGTAAATAACACTTAATGGAAGTGCACATGTTTCCATGTAAGGACTGAATCACTAAAAAAATACTGTAAGCTTAAGTACAATCTCAAGATTGTCAGGAGAACTGATTAATTTTGCTCTCGTTCCCATTTTCTCAACAATCTTTGTCTTCAGAGTGGATAAATGCAGTGTCATTCTGGGTTCACTTGGCAATCTTAAAATTGTCACAAGAATGGATTGGGTGCCGTTTCCTCTTCTTGTTACAATCTTTGTCATGAGCTCTCACAGATCTTTTAATGCTTGATATGCTCTCATTCTCATTACATATTCTCATTCCCATAACAAAGATTATAATGAAAGAAGAAAATGTCATAAAATTAATCCATTCTCATAACAGTCTGTAACGAGGGCAGAAAATTGAGCAAAATTAATCCGTTCTCATAACAATCTGAAGATTGTAATGAGAACAGAAAATGGCATGAAATTTATCCTTCTTGTGACAATCTTTAAATTGTAACAGGGCAGGAATGGGATACAAGATTAACAAGCCCTTGGGACAAAAGCTCTAACTAGAGCTGAAAATCATATAAAATTAATTTGGGTGTGTACGTGTACGTGTGTGTGTGTGTGTGTGTGTGTGTGTTTGTGTGTGTGTGTGTGAATGTGTGTGCTTCACAAAGGCCTGAAAGGCTGAATTATAATGCCTGGCTCTGTTGAAATGTCATGTTTAAAATCAGTAGCTATTTCAAATTGCCTTAAAATATTAGAGCCTGACTTTGCTAAGATGGTGAATTGAGATGAATGTGCATGTTCACTGCTCGAATAGACCCTGAGGGGAAAGGATTTAGTTAGGGAGATAGTAACAGAAGTGAAATTTGTTACTGAATTTATGAATAACTAATCTGATAGCCTATAACTTTATTTAAAAATATTCATTTAAAAAGAATAGTAGTATGTAGAGCTTAACATGGAAAGATAATTACTTGACAACAAATCACTGTGCATTTGTAAATTCAGCTAACACATATTTGAGCATATACAACAGTCTACCACTTTGAGGCTATGGAAATAGCCCAATAAATAACAAGGTTCAAATATGCGGGGGTTTGGTTTGTGCTAACATTCTTTGTGATTTATTTAATGCATAATTTCTTTAATTTAGTCATTGGATGAACTGAATTTGTGATTGGTTTCACAATGTTTAATTATAGACATCCTCGATTTCTAAAACAAAAGTAAGACAACACTTGCATAAGGTGCAAATATATTCAAGCAGAATATGAACAACTATTTACCTGCATAATTAAAATAAGAACAAAGTAATGAATTAATGTGCTAATTATTCTTTTATGGACACAAATAGTTTTGCAAAGAATGTATTTTATGAATATTTATTTGTACTTTATTAAAACATGCATTATACAAATAGAATTATGAATATATGCACATTTTATAACAATTACAAACTTTAACAAGTATCAGAGGATTTATTGCAGGTACGTGATAATTTCAAATACTTAAACCTTATCTGTCATTTTAAAGCTATATTAAGAGCTAATAATGAATTGTTACAGCATTAAATATTTCAAAAAACTTTACTTGTATAACCTCAAAATGAAAAAACCCACTTGTAAGATTGTTTTTCCCTTTATAGAGCTCTGTACTTCCAGATATTTCAGAAAACTGCAAGTGTATCAATGAAATTGCAACAAATTATTAGATGCAAAGCTATTTCATGGTATTCACCCAATACTTTAAAAAGAAATATCCATTTGAAAACTTGCTGTTATATATAATTATTTCACTTGTTGAGAATGTATTATTGACCATCAACATTGAATGTATTATTGTCTTAGATATAAAAGACAGTATTTTTAAAAATTGTAGGTGTAGCTTGCCTGTTTAAGTAATAGGCTTAATTTTAGTTGCCACTGTTAGATTTTTCCAATCTGGAGATGAAGTTTGAATAATTTGCTTAGCTAGAGCATCTACTGTATCTCTTGACAAGAAAAATATACAGTTGTAACTAAAATTAAGGATGCATTTTGGATAAAACAATAACATTAGTGAGTAATCAAGAAAGCCTGGACATGGCCTTGGCTCTGTATTTTGAAAAACAAGCAAGGTCTGAACTTAAATTGCCACTCATTTTTTCAACATCCAGAGAGAAGATAAATATAGTGATTCATAGTACTTGTGAAAACCTTCAGAAAGTAAACCTTTTGCTTCATGGAAAAATGAGAAATTTGGGAGGTTGCACTTTTCATCATCAACAAAAGCTATTTTTGCAGACCAAAGAAGAAATGAAAACCTTTTCATTTATTTAGCTGTTCCTGGAAAGGTTGCCAAAGGTCCTATCATGAAAGACCTAAAGGAAGAGCTGTTCATAGAAAGCTTTTAAAGAACAAACATCATAAGCACAGATTCATACGGTAGGTGGAATATTGTCGGAAGGTACAGGGGGCCAAAGCACCAGGATACGATCCCAGAAAGAGGAGACTCTTCTCTGTACTTTTTCCATTGTTCTTTTTTATACTGAGCTATAGGTATGTTCCATTTCAAGTACAGTTCGTGAAAATCCATGTTTTCAAAAATGAGTAATAATTCCCTTTGAGTCTATTTTTATTAAATACTATACTGCAAACTAGTTTTATAAAGTATATTTTTCACTTAATTGAAAGAGTTTATTCTAGTTATTTTTCTTAACCTTTTAAATGTTATTTTAACTAATACATGCAAACATGAAAGTAGCATGTATTTATGGGTTAACCTGTGATATTTTGACACATGTATGCACTGTGTAATGTTTAACTTGGGTTGAATATTTCTATCTCCTCAAAATATCATCATGTCTTTATAGAGACAAGTTTCAATATTTTTCTAGATCTTTGGAGTATGCAGTGCATTATCGTTATCGGTATCTTAGTTCAGTCCGTTGCACAATACCAGGTAAGAGTTTGCTTCTCTCTGCTTATATTTCAGTAACCACTGAACAAGATCTCTCCACCTTTCCTCCATCCCCTACTTCCCATGGCCTCTGCTAAAAACTGTACTCTTCTAATTCCCAGTGCAATAAATGCCATTGTCAAAATGAGTATTCATCAAGGTAGACACAATAGATTGTATCTATGTGGTTTGTCAAGTCTTTCAAGCTGAAATTGCTGAGAGATGTTACTAAATAAAACCATAGACTGTTGAGTTGCAATAATGGCCAGTGTGGCATGGGAAAAGTGATACACCTCTTGGGGTACATGAAGGGTTTTATTATATTGTTTTGTTATTCAAAATGTGGCAGGTGATGACTTAGTAGAAAGCTAAGAAAATGAACAGAGAGTAAAAACCTCAGCAGAGCATGAGGGTTAAAGTAGAATTTTGGACTTGATTAAAATCATTGATACTTTGTTTATAGAAAAATAATTTCCCAGGTGATATCTAAAAACTTGCAAGTATTTTATGTCGTAGGTGGATATGTTCACACATATAACATGGAAAAAGCTAATAAAGGAAAAAAGAAAGCAAAATGAGCAAACATTCATCTATTTCACTTATTGTATTTGTTTTTCTCCATCTTATTTATTTATTTACTTATTTTTGTCTTATGAGACGGGGCTCCACTGTGTGGTTCAAGCTGGCTTTGGACTCACATTGTAACCTTGGCTTGGCCTCAGACTTGAAGCCCTTCTCCTGACTGAGCCTCCCAAGCACTGGAATTACAGATGTGTGCCCTCACTTGGCTTCACTTCTTCATTTTAAAAGTAAATTTCTCCCATATAACAGTTATTGTCCACATCTGAGTATTTTGACTATGCTCCAATATTCTGCTTTCCACTGATATTTCTTCCCCTGCATTTAGTATTCAATGGTAAAGAATTTTCACCGGAAATGACAATTTTAAATGGACTACTTCTGATTTATTATTCAAAACTACTTTGAAAACATGGGATTTTCTGTAGAATATTTATCGCAGAAATAAAGGAGGCCACTGGAGCTGAAATGGAATAAGCAACGGAGAAAAGAAGGGTTATAGGACCCCATAGGTGGCAGGGACGAGTTAATTACATAGATGCTGTATGAATTAGTCTTTCATTCCTAGTGAAGAAAGGAAATGCTGCTGAATTTGAAGGGTGAGAAAATCTGGCTTATGTACTGAGAAAGTTACTGTGGATGTTGAGTTTAACATGAGCATAGAGGGAGGCACAATAGGAAAGCAATAAGGAGATTATGATGAGTACCACCTTACACTAGGTACAGGCTCATGCCAGCGTAGCGGCAGCCCAGGTGTGATAAATGTCAGGCTGGAGGGAAGAGTCATCGCGGCTGCTTGATGTACTGGACACAGTTTAAAAAAAAAAAAAAAAAAAAAAAAACCTATGAGAATCAATATTTACTCCAGATTTTTTCCCAAATTATGTCTTCCATGTTTCTACTTTTCTTGTCTGTCATCCCCTGCAGGCTGGCATTTGACCTTCGTTCCGCCCTCTCTGGGTTGCACAATGATTGCTGTCCTTTCAAACATCACAAGCTCACATGAAAACAGAACTGTCATCCCTCCTGTGACTCCCGCGTGAAAGGAGGGCTTGTGGTCCAAGGGGCTCCTCCAGCCTTTAACCACATTTATTTCTCTCTCAAGCTTGAGGATTCCAAAGTCCGTCATCAGCAAGAGGAAAGCAGTTAGCACCATAGGAGGGTTCTATCTGTACAAAGAAGCTGGAAGTATTATTCCAGCAACCAGTAATTCCTGTGACAAGCAAGTCATGTGTTCAGTTAATACATTAAAGACTACTGCATTGTTTTCTCTGGCTCTAGTATTCTGTGGCACGGAATTCAGTACACACACGTAGTTGTTACCCAGTGATTCATCTACTCCTGTTTGACATGTAATTGATCAGATATAAACTGAAAAGCAATTGAGGAAAGGCTCTTTCAATGTGGCAATAGTACTTCTCTCACTAAAATCCTTTACAGTGGAGTATGTTTTTCATTTCTTTTTAACGTGAACTAGCTACTGATTCTTCAATGGAAAATTGTTCTTCCTTTTCTTCCCTGTGACTGTATTCTGGCTGAAACGTAAACTAAATGAGATCATGAAGAGATGCACCTCTTCTGAAGCTGAGGTTTCCTTAGTTTGAATACAGTGATGTGAGTTTGCTAACAAATAGTTTCCTCACTTTTTCAGAACATCAACTTAGTTGAACTTTTAGCTGTGGTTGGTAATTCAAAAGGGAAGACATTTAGAAACTAAAAGAGCTAGTTACTAATTACGAAGAATAATGACGATAATAATGCTAACTAGTAGAAAATGAGATTCATTCTGATATATATATATATGTATAATTCTCATATATATGTATATATAATTTTACTCAGGATTAAACTTTAGTATGGAGTCCCATTCCAGTCCACCTCTTTTTAATTATTTATTAATTTGTTTATTTTTTAAGATAGGCATTTGTGAAATCATTAAGATGCCTCAATAACCCATGTTTGGCTCAAACTTCCAATTTTCCTTCCTCAGACTCCAAGAGTGCTGAGAGTTGCTAGTTTTAAATTACGTGTACTTACTCAGTCCTCACACCCAATCTGCATGGGATCACACGCAAAGGATAGGAAAACAGCTCACAATCCCACAGATAGTATGCAAAAATTTTACTGAAACAGAATTATTGAGCCTAGTATATTACTGCATTTCTTCAGTAAATGTTGTCTTACCAAATTTTATCCATGTAGGCATACAGATATAATACCAGACATTGACTAGGGCACTGAATAGGTAATTTTGGAAATTTCCCCCGTTACCCAAGGACCCCTTCCTCTTGGCATTGCTCCTGCCCTTCTTTATTGCTTAGGCAGAAGGGAACATTGTTCTAAAGCTACAGAGCTACAGACACACAGATCTCTCACCTCGTCTGTGTGTAGGAAGGTCTCATGTTATCCATCTCTATATAAACTTTGTAAACAAATAATGTGGGCTTTCTACAGTGGGAGTTATAATCCTTGGAAAACACAGTCCGTTCTCTTCTTTTGCCCTGTATCTAGAATTAAGCTAAGTTTATGTCCCTGCCTCTCCTTTCTCTTTAGATAATGTTCTTGTGCTGCATCACTGTGTTCAAGTATAACAATGACATTTTTCAGAGACCTAATGCAGTAAGACCCTGGCTCTGGGGCAGAAAACTGTCTGAATCTCAGGCCTTTCTTTTTCTTTTTTTCTTCATCTTCTTTTTAGTTTGCTTTACTTTTTTTTTTTCCTTTTTTTGAGACAAGGTGTCACTGTGTATTTCAGGCTGGCCCTGAGTTGGTGGCAATTCTACCTCTGCCTCCATAGCGCTGGGGTTACAGGCACGCACCATCACACATGGCATTTCATGCATTTTGAATTCTATTTATTAATATCCTTCATGAAATGATGCTTGGATTTATGATTTATGAATTTTTGAGCAGGGATATGTGGACTTTATATTAAGTATCTACACATTTCAAAATATAATTTTATGATCTCTATAAAAACAAGCACATATGTTCAACCAGTGAAATTACTGTATAATTCCTAAGAACACTAAAAGTATATAATGATTCCATACTATGTCTTAGATAGTATAGGTAATCTCCCCAGGATTTCACAGATAATCTGTCACTTTACGCTGCTGCTTTATTTTAAGAAGAAAGATACAGGTGACACAGATTGTCCCCCAACGTGAATGGAGAGAAAAATGCTTTGTTTAGACATACCAGAAAAATACCACTTTATATGTAGACACTTATTAGCCTTTATTTCAGACATTTTGGCAATTGTAGCCTGTCATTTCTGACAGCTGTTTCTTATAAGCAAAGCCTGTCCTGAAAAATAATTCTGAGTCTTAATAGCTCTGAGATTTCATGTAATGCTTTATACAAGAAAAGAAAATAAACATGTTATAAAACCAAAGAGAGGAAGGATAAAATCCTGGAAGAATTGAGGTGACTCACAATTTAGGAAAAAAATAAATGAAAAGGGATCATTTGTATTTGAATCTCCAGGTGACTTTAGGTTTTCTATAAAGCCAGAGCTAGAACAAAAATATCCCAATGTTTAATTGCTTGTTTTTTATCTAAAAAAATGACAGAATTCAGATTGTTAGAATAGCTAGCTCTAAACTATTTGGACTGAATAATATTTTTGATACACTTCTATTATTAATGCACTATATTTTGTAGAATTTTGTTGAACATTTGAACAAAATTTGTTCTAGTACTTTGTTTTATAAAACTATTAAATGATCATATTAATAAAATAATTATGTAGGTGCATACTCTGTTCATTTATTTATATATATATATGTATATATAGCATTGTATATATATATATTGTATATAGCATATATACAATATATATATATATTGTATATATATGTATATATATATATATTGTATATAGCATATGTATATATATATATACATATATATATATATATATTTGATATAATAAAGAAATTATTTTCTATCCAGCCATGTGTCCTCAGGAGTCAGTGAGTAATTTTATCTCTTCTTGGTACAGTGGAAATCTAGTTTACTTCAAAGTCATCTTTATCAATGATGAGGCATTTTAAATTTTTATAAAATGAGGCAATGAATTTAATGCTTAAGTTTTAAATATGTTACATCTAGAAATCATAACTATGATGTTATTTTCTCCAGTCATTTATAATTTGTTTTAAATGGGAGGGGAAAGACATTCTACATTAGCTGTAAATAATTAAAATATTCAGGTGAGTATAAATCACTTGCAGTGATAGCTTAGTGTTTGTCTTGTTTTGACTTAAACCAATCAAAAATTTACAAAGAGGAAGATATAAGCCATGACTAACATACTCAGCTGATTGCATTTCTTCATTTTGTTTCTTTTCTATTCTGTTTTTTGTTTTGTTTTGTTTTGTTTTTTAAACCAGGAATTGAACTCATGATTTCACGCTTTC